TTATTGAATCAAACAACTCTCAAATTCTGTTTCTTTTTATTTCCCTCTCTGTTTCAAGCTTATATCTTTGGTTGGCGAAAGTGAAATTGAGAAATTATATAATTGCGTTGTTGTAGAGGTTTCACAATTTTTATCATGTAATATCATGCTTGACGGAGTCACGGAGTTGTGGTTAAGACCTTGCAGCTGAAATAGCTACGGCAGCAAAGCCTGAACCGGTATTGTTCAAGAGACGATAGGGACAAACATTGCTTACGGAGGAGGATTTGTTTCTGAATCTGCACCTGAGCTATCTAACGCTCGTGGTTTTTTAGTAAATGTAACTTTAACGGCACTTGAAGGAATATGCAGCCCTAAATTCCAGATTCTTACCGCACTAGAATATGTTTTTAAGTGTTGCAAACATATGATACAATGATGGGTGAAAGAGGAGTCCAATTATCACATGGGCAAAACCAAAGAGTATCCTCCACAAGGAGAGCCATTGTTAAAGATCCTAAAGTGGTTCTGCTAGAAGAAGAAACATGTACTCTAGATGGTGAGTTAGATCGTGCGTTCCAAGCAAGGCCGGCCCTGAGATTTTGGGGACCTGTGACGATTTCTAAGTAAAAAAAAAATTTTGGGGGGCTAAAAAATTTTTTGGGAGCCTATGCTCATATAATTTTCTACAAAATTTTTGGGGACCTGAAACAAATGTTTCACAAGGCTTTGCTCAGGGCCAGCCCTGGTTCCAAGACGTATTGACTAGGTTATTTTTAACAGATGGCAGTAAATGTTATTGTAGTGGGTTTTTATTAAAGAAACTAAGATAAGACATGCGCCTTGTGCATGATGAATATATGTAATTAAAATATAAAATTTTAGTATTGACAAATTTAAAATTTACATATGATTGTTTTTATATGTATTTGAAATGTTAGAATTTTAGAATTTTTATATAATTATCTATACGTAGGATCAGAAACAATTGTAATTAGAATTGTAGATTAATACTTAAAATTTAATGGACCCGATTTCATATATCTTTTTACTTTTCAGTGTTCGAGTGTCACTAGGCTTGATTGGTAGAGTATTAGCAGGTTCTCTAATGCTTTCTTCAGAAGCAGTTGGTAAAATATTTATATTTAAAATATATACAGTTTCAAAACTAATTTAATATAATTTATTTATTTATCTAATAATATTAGAAAATTATATTTTTTAAAAATTACTTAATTATTTTATGAAAAATTAAGTTAAATTTTAAATTATTTTAAAAATAATATTTTAAGTTTTTCAAATACAAATAGAGAATTTAAAATTAAATATGGTCATGATTTAACATAACCATAATGATTTAAAATTTTAAAAATTAACAAATTAAAAATTAACTCAGTTTTATATCAAATTTAACAATTTAAAAATTAATTATGGTTATGAGAAGTTTACGTTCACGTGTCAATCCTATTTATCTTCAATTTGTTTCTCTTGTTGTGTTTTTTTTTTATTACTCGATATAAATATTCATTTTGAAGTTTATTCTCATTTCATTTGTTTGTTTTGACCTGATATTTAGAAAATATTTAAGATTTAAAATAATTAAATGGATACATACTTAGGTTAAGATCTGCACTTTATGCACAATAAGTATTTTATATTTATTATTTATTTTATATTTTTTGCATATTATAAAAGAATAAAATAATAGATATATATATTAAATAACTAAGAAATAAGTTAATATTATGTAATAAATTGGCGTATGCATATAAATTTAAATATCACTCTTGTTTATTCGCAATTAGGATAAATAAATCAAAATAATCAATCTTATATATTGTATATGATATATAATTAAATTTAAATGATATAAACATAGTAATATAGCACACTTTTAATATGGATATTTATTTGAGGTTTCTATTCATATGATTTTATGATTATTTGCACATTTGTGTAATAAAACTTTACACCAACGAATTTTTTTTAATGTGAGATGTTTAATAGTTTCAATAATTTATAATCATTTTTTTAAAAAAACAATGACATATTTCAAAATTAAAATATTAACTTTTCAATATATGTTCAATGAAAATATCAAAATATAAGTATGTATTTTCATACGAAGTATAATTTAATTTAAACGATATGAAATATATATAAACTAAAATTATTTCTTCATATGGTTTTATAATCATTATATTTTAATATAGAAAAAAGTAAAATATTGATCCTAAAAGTTTATGTGAGAGTTTTAACAGTTTTAGTAATTTATACTCATTTTGAAAAATTTGAAATACAACATACACAAAAAAATCTAGATTTTTATTATATGATTAGTGAAATTGTGTAATTTATTTTAATAATAAAGAAATCAACAAAATGATAAAAAGTATACAAATTCTTATCGAATCTTTATTGTTTAAAATCATTAATTGTCATATATATATTTTAATCACATTTGGTAATTCCGTAGGTTTTATTTAAGGAAAGTCTGCGAAACAATAAATATTTGATATATGCGACTAACTATAACGTACGAAATATTATATTGCTAGAGATTATAATTTTTAAACTAAACATAATATTACATACTCTAGAATCTTTCTAAACTGAAATAGAAGAAAAAGAAATATGCCACATAAGATTGTAGTTATTTTTAATTATTACAAATTTAAGATCACAATTTTTTAAATGATTCTCTTTTAATATATAGGGGATTATTAGAAGCATGACACTTTGATTAATACAAAAAAAATGGTTTTTACGCTTTTCCAGTACAAATACATCTGTGTGCTTCTACACAAACATGTTTTACCATAACATCTATCTATCTATTATTATAAAGAACACTTTCATCCCTCTAGAGCCATCCACGTCAGAATTTCAATTGCTGTAAGCGCAACACGTGTTCAAGAAAATTGATACTCACCGTTTCATTTAATCTCCAGTGTGTTAGGCTTTTAAATGTGGGCTTCACGAAGCTTATAAATGGGCTCACCAACTTTAATAAGGACTGTCGCACCCATATCTAAAATCCAATAAACACCTCTTCGTCTTTGACAATTTTCTTTTTAGCTTTGTAGGGTTCTTCAGGTTCTGATTTCAAAAACAACCATAGAGATTTAGGTGGTGTTATTCATTGATGTATTTTAATAGAGTTTAAATCTAAACACAATCCACTGTTATTCAATTGATGATTCTGATTTCTATTTTAAAATCTAGTGTTATTCATTGAATGATTTAAATACAGTATTTAAAATCTAGTGTTATTCATTGAATGATTTAAATCCAGTATTTAAAATCTAGTGTTATTCAACTTTTAATAATTTTAAAATTTTTTGTATTTTGGATTGATTTCAAATCATCTCTTATGAATTTTTATGAACAAATGAATGAATTCAAAATCTAAGGGTGTTATTGGTTAATGTATTTTGACTGATTTAGAAATCTGTATAGAATTTATAAATCTTAGCAAAATATACTGATTTCCAAATCTAATATGTGAATTTTAATAATTACTTACACAAATCCGATGGTTTTCCTTCGGATTTTAATCCTTGTATTTTTAACAAAGAAATCCACACAAATCCACCCAAATTCATTATAAAATCAAATCCATTAATGAATCCGTATGATTGAATAACACCTGATTAGAATTAGAATTTACAAATCATGGAACCAATAACACTTGATTCTAATTTGGATTTTAAAATCATGGAACCAATAACACTGCATTTTGTTTAGATTTATAAATCCATTAAAATACATAAACCAATAACACCCACTAAGGCCTACTGCAGAGATTTCAAAATTCATCAACTTAAACTTTCTTAAAATTTTAAAATTTGATAGATTATAAAACATTAATCATTGATTTGAAATCACTGATTGAATAACACCCCCTTATTGTTCATGTCCTTTGGACTGTATTTCTTTTCTTGATATTGGGAATTTGAACCGTTACAGGATAACTGGTATGCTTTTAGTCGTTGTCATTAAGAACCATCTTAACTTCTAAATCTCACTCTTACCATGATTCCTCACTCAATGCACCTGCCTGCTCTTTCAGTCGGTGATTTTCCGTATATAAAAGGGTTAGTCTTCATTCCCTGAACAATATCCTTTCATTCCTTACAACCGAGACCTCTTTCCTTTAGGAGCATGCGAACTCATCTGTCTTCCTAGCTTGACTTGAAGTCAGTCGCTGTTGCATCACCGTCAAAGTCATCTGCTTAAGGTAGCTCCGGTGATATGAAAAAAAATAGCTTTCCTTTTCTTTTTAGATTTGTTAGGATTAATCACACGGTGGCGAGCTTATGGCTTCAAACACAGTCACTGTCCGACTCTCTTATGTTGATTTGATCTAAAATTCAACTATGCTACTTCCCCAACATCAAGTCGTCCAATACTATGACTAAGCTCTTTTATTGGTTCTTGATTCTTATTATTTATTCTTCAGAAAAGTCAATCTCAGCCTAACGTTTTGTTTTCCGTGCCTAAATTATTTAATGAGCTTATGGTCTGATTCAGGAATTGAAGCTAAACCCAACGCAGAGTTTCAAACAATCTCCAACAGCTTCACGGCCTCAATCCCCTTAAATCAAGCTTAAGTGTCTGTTTTCATGTTTCTGATTCACAACATATGAAATTGGTAGATGGGGCCGCATTCGCTGGACGACATCCACAGCTTGGTCCAAGCAAACTTATTATACTCAGATGGTCCACAGGTTTGCTTTTAGAGCTATTACTCATAACTTTCTTTTTTTGGAACACAAAAATAACTGAATTTTTGGAATATTTTTTTTCGACAGTACTCACAGTAGATGATAGTTGGTCAGAAGAGACCGGTTTTGTTTATGTTACTGTCACCATACCTACCTGTTTACTGACACTCTCCATGGTGTATTATTTTTCTTCTGTATATTTGCTCGAGAAGTCAAGAGTGTTACATTTTGCTCACAACTCTGATTTAGATTGCACGATAATATTCCTTATACTTTTGTTAAACTTTTGCTAAGGCGCATCCGCTTAACAACTTTTGGAAAAAGGAGAAACAAGAGTCACACTCTCTGTGTGAAGTGTGGCCGTCGCAGCTTCTACATCCAGAAGAGCCGTTGCTTCACCTGTGCTTACCCCGCCGCTCACAAGTAGGCCTACAACTAGCGTGTGAAGGCAATCCGTAGAAAGACTACATGAACTGGAAGGATGAGGTATCTTCGCAAATGTGCCTCGCAGATTCAAGACCGGTTTCAGAGAAGGTACCGAAGCTAAGCCAAGGAACAAGACAGCGGCTTCATTAGCTTAAACTGTTGTTTTGAGTATTCAAAGGAATAGAGTTAAAACTTAGTTTTTGGTTTCTGAGTTTGTTCCCACATGATTACATTTGATTAGTAATATCCTTCGGCTATGTTGTTTACTTCTTTTTTAATCTGGATTCAGATTTGTGTGTTTATTCACACATGTCTTTGTCTAATCTTTGGATGTATGACATTTTATGTTGAGTCTTTTATATGTACAAATAAATATTAGTTAGGCAGACATGTTATTTCTTTCTTTATATGTTATATTTAACCTTTTCCAGTCGACGATTGTTGTTCAATTTTTCACACTATGCATTAGCATTATTGTACAATGGACTAATATTAAAATTCCTTTTCACCCGACTCATTATATCCGAAGAATAAAAGAGTATTCTAAGAATACGTACGTATTAAGATCAATATATTTTTTTCAAAGTACCGTAGGTAACAGTGACATGCATAATTCACCTATACATCATAAAAATGTTCTGCATGAAATTATTCAAAGCAAGTAAAATATATTTAGTATAATGCATATTAGAATACCAGGCCGGATTGACCCTTGACTTACACTTGGCATATCAAGATTGAGCTTCTTTGGACTCAGACAAAAGTTGATTAAGGAAGTGAGTTTTCTTAATTTTCATTATTGGGTTGTTCTTTGACATGGATCTACTAAATGTTGTTTTAGCAAGAAAAAAATAAACTTTTTCTTCTTTTAATATAACGCCATCATGTGTTCAAAAAAAAAATATAAAAACAAAAGACTTTATAGGAAAACAAACACTTCTGTGAATTATCGAATTATCTCACCTTCGTAGTATTATATGCTTCTGAATTCGATGTATAACTTAACTACTGGTTTGCATGCAAACGTAATATATTTTTCATATTCTGATAACCAACACACAACTAAATAAACTATGGGATTGACTACTGAGAATGAAAAAAAGACAACCGTGTTATGTAACACTTGCTAGGTTTTAAGAATTTTTTAATATATAGCAAAACAAATGAATATGTGAAATCAAATATAACCACTCTCATTTTCCTTAACAGATTTCATGCTTTACGGTTTATAAACATTTAGATTTTATAACAGATACCCCCTCTATTTTAATATATAAATACTTTTGAAGATTTTTTTTTGAAGTGTAAGTTATTTTCAGAAGCCAATATAAAACTTAAAGTAATTAAAAAATATTTAAACTAAATAGAAGAAAAAGAAAGTTAGATATGTTTGTTTTACATCTAAAATTATTTAAACAGCCATATATATATTAAAACTACCAAAAGAGCTATAAATTTGATTGTACATTATATTGTCTAAATAATATTGAAATTTTTTCTGAAGTATAAAACCACAACAAAGCCATATTTAGACATACAAAATACAGAACTAAACTACTATTTAAATTTTAAGTTAATAAAATTTTATATTAATTATTTATTCACTTTTCAAAATAAATCCCGTCCGTAGAACGGGTCGACCCTAGTTCTAAATATAATATTATTAGTCGTACTCTTTTCTTCAATTAATTTTTCCTACTACATGCTGTCAAATTCAGATTTCTTATCTTCTCTATCAAACAGATGCACTATATATTGATTGTACACAACTTCGTGACTCATATTTCATCGATGCTTTAAATTCTTCGCTTTCAAAACTTTTCAAACAAACGCTTCTTAAAATAGTGAAACATCTTTAATTCAGTCGAAAAACTTATAAATAAAATTACTAGCAAAATTCCCTTACAAATAACATAATTAATAAATCTTCCCTTTGCAGGCTTCTTCTTCTTTGGGCTAAAAAGTGAAACAAATTTTGCTTTGAGTTTCTATAATTTAAAGTTTTTTTTAAAAGCTTATTTACACCTTTGGTTTGAGTCTAGATGTTTTAATCGAAAATGATTCACTTATTAATGCCCACTGATTTTGTTTTTAAATAAGATTCTACTAAGATAAAACTGTATAAGTTTAACCATATAGTCAATACAGACAGACATAGTGTCTGCATTTAAATTAAAAAAAAAAAACATATTTTCAAAGTCTAACGTCATAATCTAAACTGGAAACTCCTCTACCAATTTACTAGTTCCGAATAAGATTTAGGGAAAATTAGAAAATTAGGACACTCTTAACTTGGATTTGTCCCTACAGACTTTTAGAAGATTTTTTGGGAAAATAGGATTTTCAAATCTGTTAATACGATAATACCCTTAAATTAATCAATTAAATGAAATTATAAATTTAAATTAAAACAAAAAAACAAGAATCTGGACACATGGTTTAGAGGGGAAATCAATAACCCTAATTTTGTTTTGCATCATCTTTTCCGCCGAGCTCTCTCCCATGGCGATTGCGCCTTCTCTCCGACATAATTGTCTTCTGAAATCTTCATTTCTCACCTTCTCTAACCTTTCCGAATCATCTTCCTCTTCCATCTCACCAAAGAAACAACAAAAAACAACAAGAAATCCAAGTCTTCTTCCTCAACAATTTTCGTCGGGTCAATTTTTTGTCTGCCACGAAACTCCACTCATCATTGCAACTAGACATCCATTCACCGGATTTAACATAGACTAGAACCATCTTGTATTACTAAGAAGAAAAGATGATGCTTTTTGATGAAGAATGTAGAACACACAGAGAAAAAGATCGTGAGGAAGAAAGAAAATCGTGGACAAAATATTCTCTAAGATATTTAGGAAACATATTCGACTAAATATGGAAGTTTCCATATTTTGCAGATTACCTAGAATATGTATATTACATAAGGCAGAACACATTAGAAAAGGTGGGAAACGTATTCTTTTTCAAGCGTCACATAAGGTAACATACAAAATTGATTATTGCACAAAATCTGGATGAGGTATGTTAATACGTAATGGTTATAAATCGGTATCTAGCTTCACGTACACCAAAGACATATGTCTTGATTATAACGTTAACAATACTACCTTGGTTAGAATAGACAAGAAATGCTATATTACGTTTCATACCTCGGGTCTATCTAGCAAGAACACCCAGTATATGATTTCTAAACTGAGTAGATAACCAGAATGAGTATTCTATCTGTAGCTAGAAGATAAAATAAAATATGATTCCACTTTGAAAAAATAAAAACTTAAACATATATGTTGTCATACTTATGTTTTCTACCATTCTCATATTTTTTTCTATTTTCCAAAATTAGTTTACTATTTTTTTCATTAATAAAGAGTAAACCATGTCCAGAATTACCAAAAGTATGAAAAGTCCTATATAGACAAATAAAAATTCAAAGTATCCCAATTTTCCAATTTTCCCATCTTATAATCCTTTTCAAAAAAAAGTCTAACGTCATAAAGCAACTATCAACAAACAAATCTTTGACTGCATAAACAACATTATGCGTGTTCCAAAAAAAAACAACATTATGCATCTAAAGAACTTCAAAGTTAAACTCATACAAGATTTAGCATCAGAATGAGAATTTGATAATAATCAGTGCTTTATAGAAACAATGAGCACAAGGAAAAAATGGTCGATAAAGGAAACACAAAAAATTGAAACAAATGACAACATACACACATATCATTAGCCACCATCCAAACATCCACTTCTTACTCTCAAGTGGGATCAACTTCATAAAGCAAATAACCAACCACAAAATTAATCGAACACAAAGCATGCATCACAGGAAATTTAGTATCTATAATTCACAAAAACCCAAGCAACAGAAACTACCAACATTTACACATACTACAAAATAAATAAAAAGACAAACAAAATCAGACTCTTTAAAACTGATATGGTTACACTACATATAAGTTATTTTGACTAAATTATATGTGAAATAAACAGATTATAGTTTCAATGTAAATTCACCTGCCGTAGGGCGGACCAACCACTAGTTTCAATATAAGATAATGTATAAGTCTCGATACATTTATCTAAAATCGAAGAACCAAAACCAAACAAAACTTCATAAATAAACAAGCAGATCCTATATCTATGATAACATAACAAAACTAAACAGGAACCAAACTGCAAACTGAATGAGTTTCAACCAACCTAAATTACCCGATATAAATTGAAAATCCGAATTATTCAATATTTTTCCTATATTATCTAAAAATTACTCGAAAATCTAGAACCGAGTTAGACCTGATTTTTTAGATATTAGCTGATTCTCTACTCTGATATCCGAACCGAACGAAAAACCAAAATAACCGAACCGATACCAAATTGAACTATGAAATATCCAAAGGGTTTTTAAATTTCTAACCGGAAAACCGTAAACAAAAGTACATGAACTAAACTGAATATCGAAACCTAATAGTATATCTAAATGTTGCGAAAAAAATAAACTATTTTAAAAATTTATTTAATTCCTTTTAGTGGAGTATAGTCTATAGACGAATTAAGATATAAGCGACCGAAGGGTTCTTAAATTTCTATAATCGAAAAACCGTAAACAAAAATACATGAACTAAACTGAATATCGAAACCTAATAGTATATCTAAATGTTGCGAAGAAAATATTCTATTTTTACAATTTATTTAACTCCTTTTAGTGGAGTATAGTCTATAGATAAATTAAGATATAAGCGACCGTGATCCGGATCTGCTATCAACCCGGTAAACCCAGTGAACCATATATAGTCTAGTTTGAATTTAGTGAGTATTCGTTAATTAAAAACTCAATAAAACCAAAAACCAGTCATTACTTGTGACCTTTCACTGATTGATCCAGTAAAACTTCTGAAATATTTTCATAATATTTAAAAAAATAATTAAGATTTTCATATACTTTTTAATAGTAAATAAAACAGAATAAATATTTGTTTTATGATAGTAATTTTGATTAAACTTACAAATATTAATTACAATTTGATATTAATATTTCTATATATTTTAAATACAATCAGTACTATCTAAACTTTAATGTACATATTTTCTTTGTTCTTGAGATAAAAGAATTAAAGTTATGATTATTGAAATGAGCATTCTTAATGTAATAAATTAATAATAGTTAGATATAGTTTTATGTCCAAAAATACTATTAATGACCAGAATACTATTAATGAAAATTGAATTTTGTTTTGTAACAGTAAGGTTATTTGGTAAATTTGAGTTTTTCATTCAAGAGAAAAAAACGTGAATGATCATGTTTCAGTAATATTATTGATGTTTATAAAACTGTAAATTTGAAACTAAAGTAATTTATTCCAAGCTATGAAAAGATTTTTGGCTGTTTTGATTTGTAATTTGGTAAGTTAGTTTTTTCGACATTTGGCAAGTTAGTTATTGAAAAATATTAGCTGATTTTAGTGTTGATTGCGTATAGATGTTTCCAATGAAGATGAATTTATAGTCATTGCGTAAAGAGTTTACAAATGAAGATGAATTTATTGTCAGATGTTTATGAACCGTTCACTGTTGATACATTTTAGTAAGTTAAAGAAGATGAATTTATATCAGAGAAGAACTTCAAAATAGCAACAAACGTTTATTTTGTTGTAACAATTTAACTAATTAATTGTGTATAGTTAGATTAATTTATTGTAAGACCAAAAAATAATGAGTAGTAATGAATAGGTCCAAACAACTTATATAAGTAGATTTTTTAGATGTCCTTCCCTTTTAATAGTATTGATTGATGTTTATGAACCGTTCACTGTTTGATACATTTTAGTATGTTAAAGAAGATGAATTTATATCAGAGAAGAATTTCAAAATAGCAACAAACGTTTATTTTGTTGTAACAATTTAACTAATTAATTGTGTATAGTTAGATTAATTTATTGTAAGACCAAAAAATAATGAATAGTAATGCATAGGTTCAAACAACTTATATAAGTAGATTTTTTAGATATCCTTCCCTTTTAATAGTACTGACAGTAAATAACTAGAATTGGTAATAGTAAGTAAAATCTCATCGATTATAAAACAAAATAAATGAACAAAATCTTGAAAAGTTTACATTGGAGACTCTGACTACAAGTACAACACTGTATCATGAAACCAATATTCTTTCATGCAAAAAACATCAATATCTCAAAACCAAAAAAATCGTGATGAACAATCTAATGCAATGTGACCAGAACAATTCTTAACTAAGGTTACTACCAGATTTCTTGGCCTTTTTGCTAGCATGAATATTAGCATAAATCTCCTTTGTCCTATAAGCCAACAGAATATCTAAACCGACTCCAATAATAGAAGCTACAGCCATCACCAAAAAGATGAGACGGTAACAATGAGCTCCGACGCAAGTGTTGCCCCCACCAGGAGTTGGTGTAGCCTCTGCATCGTAGAGGAACCCAGCGAGGAGACCAGAGAAGAGGAACGAGCCCAGTGGTAAGTTAAGTACTAAGATGTTGTAGATGAGACCATAGTATTTAAGACCAAAGAGTTCTGATGCTGTGGGTACGGTAATGGCTAGACGGACACCATAACAAACTCCGACCACCATTGAACCGATGTAAAGTGAATTGGGCACAGCTAATGCCATTAGTAGATACCCTACAGCCATGAGGATTTGAGATGCAGCGTTCCATAGTGGTCTTGGTGTTCCAGCTTTCCTATAGAAATCAAGAGTAAAATTCACACTACTTGCTTAGTAAAGTTATTAAATTAGCATGCTGATAATGATGTATTATCAAGAGTAAAATTCACATTAGTTTGTAAACATCTTAAAGTTTGTAAAGAATCTAGAGTGGGACATTCACGTGGTGAGGAATTAAACAACGTGGTCCTAACAAAAGAGCAAGATTTCTGGATTTGGACTTGTCTATGCAGAAGAACAAAAAACTATTGAAATGAATTAAACAAAGAAATCTAAAGGGTCCATTTTCTTTATTGGAGAAGTCATTAGATGGAGAAAATTTTGCAGAAAACCATTGAATGTTGTGTGTCCATGGATGTGGATGGTCACATTATAGCTTTGTAATTAATGCTAAAACGATAATGAAAGCTTGACGATATCTCCGTACCAAAAATACCAACCACATGAAAATAAAGTGAATCGTCAGTTGCGGGCGGATACAATTGTATGGAACATAAAGTGTCGGCAAGTGCTAATTGGAAGATGTGTAGAACCTAACCAAATATTTAGATTTTTTGGTAACTTTGAAAATAGTTAGATAATTAATAAAAGCTTATTTACGTACTTCAAATAATATCTATATTTTATAAAAAGAAGCGTTTAATACTATATTTTTAAATATAAATACTTTTTCAAAAAAAAAGAAACTTTATGGGAAACAACAAAAACTGAAAAGGTCATTAAAGTAGGAGGAGACTTACTTGAGAAAATGTTCGGAGAGAGTGCCGGAGAGAATACGACCGAAGAAACCCCAAATACTAGTCATTGAGACGAAGATCGAAACGTCTGTGTAACCAAGTGCAAGCCCAATCTGGCCCATGTTGTTCATCACAGCCAAACCAGTTCCTACACCACACAAGAACGAGACGAATAGCACCCAAAAGTCAACGGTCAACATCGCTTCCATTATCGTGTGGTCTTCTCCCAACACCGGCCTCTTCCTCTCCCCCCCAACATCCTCCTCCTCTTCCACCACCACATTAGCCACAACTACTTCTTCCTTCTCCACCGCTCTAAGCAACGGTTCTTGAACCTGTCCTTCCACGTCTCCTTCACCACGGTTCAAGCTTCGTATGAACGAGTGGAAAGGTATAGCGATTGGTGAGAACAAGAGGAAGAGAAGTATGGAGGCGAAAACGACAGAGAACACTCCGGTTTTGATCCCGATGATGTCGTAAGACTGAAGGTACACAGCGACGACGACGGCTACGATGTTGAACACGGCGAAGTAGCGAGTCTCTTCGCTCTCCTCGTCGGCGGAAGAAGCTGGAGGGATCTCACGGAGGAAGAAAACCGCCGTGAGACAGACTGCGAAAGGCACGACCGCGAGTAAAACAAGAAACGACGCCGGGTCGTTTGAGAAGAGAGCAGTGCAGACGTCGGTGAAGATAGCAGTGCTTAGACCGACGTATCCTTTCAAGATCCCGGAGACAGGACCACGGTTTCGCCGGAAGTTTCGTATGCAAGTAACAAGAACCGCCGTGTTCATCCACGTCGTGCTGTTTCCTCCCATACATAGGAATATACACATCTGAACATTACAAAAACCTCAGAATCAAGAATTGCGCAAGAATAAGATTTATTGAATTCAAGAATATTATTAGTATATTAAAAAAAGAATATTATTAGTACCTGCCAATAAGGGAGAGGGGTAATGGTGCGGCTAACGACGAGCCATTGTACACCATAGCCAAGAAGACCTTCTAAAGAACCGATAAGGAGGATGACGGGAGTCGAAAGACGGTCCGAAGCGAGGCCAGCGAGGATTCCAAAGGCTTTTCCAACGTCTTTAGCGACGGAGAGGTTGTTGAGCTGGAGCTGGTTGAGATTCATGAGTGACTTGAGGGCGCCAGAGTAGTTGGAGAAAGTGTAGTTGTTGCCGGAGATGGATTGAACCCAAACCGCCGTCACGAATCCAAGCCATTTCAGCGCAGAAGAAGAAGAGGGAGATCTCAGAGTACCCATTGTAGGAGAAAGAATTTCAAGAAGAAGAGTGTGTGGGTTGTGGAGGTTAAAAGTAAGGGAGGTTTTATAGAAGGGAAAGTGAAAGGTTTTGCTTGTGTGTGTTTTTGGTTTAATTAAATCGTTGTTGTTTTCCATTTTGTCAACAATTGTTTATTTTAATTATACAAGTGGGGAATGAGAATAGAAAAGGTACGACGGCGACATGTAGTACGGTTAAGACGGTGTGCAAACCGTGGATACATCACGATTCACGACATTGAATATTTTAAGAGATGGTGTGCTCATATTGTATTTTTCTTAGTCGTGTTGAACAAAAAAAAAAAGTAGGTGGCCAAATAGGCTATGTCGCTAGCCGTTGCGCTTAGGATGTTTGTTCCTTCAAAACTTCTCTTCATGTTAGACTCCTCGTATATGATCAACTAAATCAAGCGTTCCCACCTATGCTGCTATTCAGACGATGTAGGATCAGAACAGAGTAGGTATTTCATGAACTACTGACAGAGGAAATGTGTGATATGGAACCGGAATGGAATGTTCTTCTAGTTGTCAAATAACCAAGAAAAAAGTAAAATTAGATTTTAGGAAAGAGAGAATAGAGAGAGATTTAGTTAATGTACAATCAGATGGTGTTTCACAACAAATGGCTCATATTCGACTCAAAGTGGGTATAAATTGTTAGAGGCTTTGGTCGACTTTGATCATCCTCCAGAGCACTCTCTCACTCCTCTTGAAAAACAATTATGGAAAGAACTATTGAAGGTTAAAGCCCCACCAAAAATAAAACATTTTATGTGGCGCGCTCTATCTGGTGCTTTAGCGGTAAAACAACGATTGAATACTCGGGGGATTCCGGTAGATCCAACATGTTCAGTATGCGGTAATGCGGCAGAAAGTAATTGTCACGTTCTCTTTACATGTTCGAAAGCACGTGCTACTTGGGAACAAGCTAATTTCCCCATACCTTTATGTGGTTTTTCTCGGAATTCAACATTTTTAAATTTTGTGCATCTTATCATGATTGTCAAAAAATCAACAACGGATATTCATACAAGGAATGTTTTCCCTTAGTTGTTATGGGAAATTTGGAAAGCTAGAAATGCCTTTGTTTTTGAAACCAAAGATATCGAGGCTTCTTTTATTGCTAAGAAAGCCTATGAAGAGGAATCAACATGGTTTGATACATTTTCAGGAGCAAAGAAAAATGTTTTGGAGGCTCCTTCTGTAATGATTCGATGGCAAAAACCACCCAAAGGTTTCCTCAAATGTAATGTTGGTTCCTCTTGGTTAAACTCTAACCGTCATAGTGGTGCTTCATGGATCTTACGAGATGAAAATGGGTGTACAGTTATGCATAGTCGTCGGTCTTTTTCTTATATGCGCACAAAGATTGAGGCTGATTTGTGGTCTCTTTTTTGGGCGGTGGAATGTGTCCACAATCTGCATTTCTCAAATATCATTTTCGAGACTTCCTCTGAGACCCTCCATGACGCACTTACACATCCAAATGATCACCTCATTTTCAGCCATATTCGTCACAATATTTCTTTTCTCCTCACCAGGATAGATTCATGGAGTTTAGACCACGCAGTTCCAGAGCGCAATGAAGCAGCTGACGCTATTGCTATAAGTGTCACTCGCGATAACCGTCACCAGTCTTACATCGCCCGTAATGCACCCGTGTGGCTACATCACCTACTTGCTTTGGAGGCTCAGCTATAAGGTTTTGGGTGAGGTTTCTTCTTCGTTATCTGTTGATGTCTAATGATATCTCATATCTTCTCTGTTCTTCCCTTTTGTACTATTTTGGAACTTGCTTTGTACCATTGCACCAGTGTTATAAAAAAAGGTAAACGCAGTTTTGTCTTTACTTAAGAGCAGTTTAAGGAATTATGGAGAAAAAAGTAATCAGCTTTTTACTTAAAAGGAAGTTTGACTTATTTGGTGAAAACACACAAAATGAAAGTTTTAAGATTTGTATCTTTAGTTTTAGGCAGTGACGAGTCAGGAAAATTTTCAACCGGGTCATTTTATATATTAAAATATAACACTAAAACAATAATATATAGAAATATTTTACCAAAAACATAGAGAAATAATATTTTTGGATTATTATTACATATATTTTTATTTAAATTTGATTTACTATTACTGAAATTTTTTAAAACTGATTTGGAGTTCAATGTTATAATTAGAATTGATAATTTAGTTTAAATTAATTGATATTGAGATATCATCCATTGACATTTATATAAATTATTATTTTACCCGATTTTTATTTGTGCCAGGATAGTTGTCTGAATACATTTGAAACCATAAAAGCTATGATCATTTATCTAAGAAGACAAATACAAAACATTAATGATAAGTCGTTAACAAGCTCTTTAAATTTAGTATATTCTGCCTTTCAAACAAGGGAAGTGGATACAAATACGTGATATTTTACTTCATTTATAAACCTGTTTTGTATAGCTAAAATTACTTGTGTGGGTTTATTTAGAATTAAGATGATAAAATAGATTTTTTTTAGTTGGAGTAGCATGGACTTCACAAAATATAGGCGTCAGTTGAAAATTTGTATTGGGATCAATGCTGTAAATTTGGCTAAAACACTTTAGATAATAAAATTTAAGTAAGGTCAGGCTCTTCACATTGCCTCCACCCCTGGTTTCAGGGTTGTCTTTAAGTATTAAGAGACGTGTGAGCATCGAATGTGCGATCAACACACTGAAAGAACGTATAGCTAAGAGAGCTTTGGTAAATTCTTTTAAGGTGAAACAAAACACTAAACATTAATAATTCGAAAAAAAACTTTATACAAGTTTTTGAACAGGAGAGATTAGTTCAACGAATCAAAGTTTGTCTTGAATTTGTTGAAAAATTGTTTCAAGGTGAAACTTGTAAGTACATTTACAAGGATTAATCCAGTTGTATTTATTGAAAAAAGATTCTTATGTGTTATAATGTGTCTAGTTCATGTAATAGATAACTTTCACATTTACGGTAACAGATCATGTAATACTAGTGACTTCGGAACAAAACTGATAGCTCAGATGGTACCAAATTCAAAAGATCACGCGGAACAAAATTAAGTCATCTCAATTCTGTATCTGGTTCTTGGATCACTACAAGAAAAGAGGCTGTTTCTGACGGACTTTCTGACCGAATTTTTTGTCGTCAGAAATTATTGACGGATTTCTAACGGATTTTCAAAATGGTCAGAAATTTCTGACGGACCGACATTTGTCAAAAAACCGTCAAAAATTTCTGACCGAATTTTGTCGATACGATAACCGTTAGAAATTTCTGACCGATTTCTGACGAATTTTTAACCGTAATATTGCTGTTCGAAATCGGTCAGAAATCGGTCAGAAATCGGTCAAAATTGTCTTTTATATTTCCCTGACTGCAACTCGTCTCTTTCACATTTTTCACTCTAAATCCGAAAATTCTATTACACAGAATGTCTTCCTCCAATCAAAACGAATATTTCAGGTCTTGGATGGATCAAAATCATCAAGATCCTTCAACTGGGCTTCTTACAGAGGAATTTGCACAAGGTCTTCAACAATTCATGTCATTTGCCTCAAATCAAACAAGGACTTTGGAAACGGGTAAGATGTATTGTCCTTGTCCTATTTGTCAGAATCGTAGATTCCGTTCTGTTGATGGTGTATGGAAGCACTTATATAGTCGAGGATTTATAATGGGTTATAAAGTTTGGTATTCTCATGGCGAAACTGATTTGATGGTGAATTTTGGTAGTACGAGTGTAGAACATAGAATGGATGAAGTAGAAGAACAACAAGGTGGTTTAGATGAACATATAGGTATGGTTCAAATGGTTGAAGATAGACAAAGAGTGGAGGAACCAAACTATGAAGCACAAAAATTTTTTGATATGTTAAATGCAGCAAAGAGTCCGTTATATGATGGTTGTAGAGATGGTATTTCGCCTCTGTCATGTGCAACTAGGATGATGTCTATTAAAACAGATTATAACTTAAGCGAAGACTGCGTTGATGCGATGGCTGATTTTGTGAAAGATATATTGCCTGAAGATAATCTTTCACCAGCTACATATTATGAGATACAGAAATTGGTTTCTGGATTGGGTTTGCCATATCAAATGATAGATGTTTGCATCGACAACTGTATGCTATACTGGAGAAGGGATGTTGATCGTACTAGTTGTCGATTCTGTCGCAAACCACGGTTTCAAGAAACAAGGGGAAAAACTAAAATTCCGTATAAGAGAATGTGGTACTTGCCAATTACAGACCGTTTGAAGAGGTTATACCAATCTGAACGTACAGCGGAAGCTATGAGATGGCATGGTGAACACGTATCAGAAGGAGAAATTTCTCATCCATCAGATGCGAAAGCATGGAAACATTTTCAGTCAATGTATCCTGCGTTTGCATTTGAGAAAAGAAATGTTTACCTTGGTTTAAGTACTGATGGATTCAGCCCGTTTGGAAGTCATGGGAGACAATATTCTCTTTGGCCGGTTATTGTAACTCCATATAATTTGCCTCCATCTTTGTGCATGAAACGAGAGTTTCTCTTTCTCGCAATTCTAGTTCCTGGCCCTAACCATCCTAGAAGAGCTTTTGATGTGTTTTTGCAGCCACTGATTTATGAGTTGCAAATGTTATGGGAACATGGAGTTGAAGTGTATGATATATCTTGTAGGCAAAATTTTATGATGCGTGCCGTGCTTATGTGGACCATAAGCGACTTCCCGGCATACGGGATGTTATCTGGATGGACAACACATGGAAGATTAGCTTGTCCTTACTGTCAAGATAACACAGATGCATTTCAACTGAAGAATGGAAGAAAGTCGTGTTGGTTTGATTGTCATCGACGATATCTACCGCCTGATCATCCGTATCGTAGAAGCACCACATTGTTTACTAAGAACAAACAGGTGTTTGATGGTCCGCCACCAGAAATAGATGGAGATTATATCCTAACTCAGCTCAGAGATTTTGGTGCAGAGAAGACAGTTAAGTGTGGTGGAAATGGGCATGAGCTCGTTGATGGCTATGGCGAATATCACAACTGGCATAAGAAAAGTATTTTTTGGGATTTGCCGTATTGGAAGGATCATCTGTTAAGGCATAATCTAGATGTGATGCACATTGTTTGAATTGTTTGTTTATTGCAGCAAGACTGGAATTGGGATCCCGCTCACACTGAAGAAGTGCGGACAGCCTTTAATGTGCAGGCTAACAAGCAGTACAAGAGCAACATGACTTTTTGGAAGAAAAAGTGGAAGCTGAAGAAGGATAAGCCCACAGGTCTGGATGAAAATGTGTGGCTTGGATTGAAAGCGTATTGGCAACTAGATGAGACTGCATCTATCGCACAAATCAATTCTCAGAATAGGAAAAGTCAGCGTGGTGGGAAAGGTGTGTCCACACATAATTGCGGTGCAAAGACGAGAGAGGAACGCGGGATTGAAATGGTAAGCTTTTTACTAATATTTATGATTTCCTTACTTAAGCTCTAACATTGAATTGACAATTTCTATGATGCTAGACTGCTGAAAATGGTGGTGTGCCACCATCATGGTTAGATTTGATGGAGGATATGCACACCAATAAGCAGACCGGTGAGGTGCAAGATCCTGTTGCCTGAGAGTTGTTGGACACTTTGAAGAAGATGAAAGCAGATAAAGAAGCACAACTCCAACAGTCTCAGATGTGTGTAGTTGAAGGATCTACAGCTTCAAACGTGATGTCCCGCGAAGAGATTAACCAGATGGTTCTTGAGGTATTTCATTGCAGCAAACATTCTTTGATAGTCCTATTATTATCTTCTTTCTATTATTATTAAATTTGTCTTTGGTGTTTGTAGAATGTCCCAGTTAAGAAAGGTCGTCGCTATGGTTTAGGCCGTGTTTCAGAGGGGATCTCCTCTAGTAGCCAAACAACCTTTTCTTCCTCGGGAATTATGAATGTGATGGAATAGCTCAAGACGGATCTCGATGAAGAGCGGACAAAGCGACGGGCTTTGGAGGCAGAACTTCGGGCCGTCAGTGATTTCATCTCTCGGGTTTATCCGGAAGATTTCTCAGCTTCACAAGCCTTCTCAGCTTCACAGCCCGAGTAATGTATTTCAAAATCTTATGTTTCTTATGTTTTTTGAACACTTTTATGTATTATTAACTCGGTTATGTTTTCTTAAGACAATGTAAACTCTGTTTTAATTATCTAAACTTTTATGTATTGAAATTTGCTTACTTATCTTATATTAATTTCATATAATATAATACAAAAAGGATTTTATTTTTTAAAAAATAGTATTAAATTTCTGACGGAAGAACTTGTCAGAAATTTCTGACGGTTTGGTCGTCAAAACTTTCTGACCGCCACGGTGGTCAAAAAATTATGACGGCTAAATCCGTTAAAAAGTTTTGACGCCTCCTCCGTCAGAAATTTGTGACGGGTTGTCCGTCAAAAATTTCTGACAGTCGTGTCGGTCAGAAAAATTTGACGGCTTGTCCGTTGGAAATTTCTGACGGCCACTCGGTTAGAAATTTCTGACCAAAAAATTTCGGTCAGAAATCGGTTGGAAATTTTAACCGATTTCTGACCGTTTAGAAATTTCTGACGAAATAGAAATGACGGGCGTTTCCGTCGAAAATCAGTCAAAACAGACCATTTCTAACCGTTTTCTAACAGATTTGCCCGTCAGAAACGACTCTTTTTCTTGTAGTGGATGAATATATTATGAAAATTACAAAATTATCGTCTACTTATAAAAGTAACAGTGCATAAACATTATGAAAGGTAATATTGTTTGGGTTTGTTAGCTGTATGGAATATGTACAAACCATTACCAGACAATGATAAATATAGGAAACCAAATTATACAAAACATGTACTGTTTCACTAGCTAAATACAATCTGATATAATGCATGTTGTCCACAAAAAAAAGATATAAACTTTATATTATTAATAGAATAGAAAGTCATGGATGTGATGAGACCAGTAAACTTAATCATACAGTAAACGTCAACAAGGCGTACTATTTTTTAAAAAAAATGAGAAGTTGTGCCAGAGGTACCTCAGTTTAGGTTTTGGTCTAGCAATCCTGATGGCAACTGATCCAGTTTCTTAATTCTGACTCTTGTTCCGGCTCTGTGCTGGATTGAGGAAATTTATTTGATTATAAACGCAATCATTACATCATTTCCGTATATATTAAATTAATTAGGTTAAACAAGTTGGATAGGCAAATTTGTATACCACATCCCCACGTTAAATCAGAACTTTTCAATTAAACTTTGTGATATATATAAGCCATATCAGTCAGAAGTCTTCAATTCTTTTTATTCTAAATGTTAAAGACCTTGTTTAGTCAATGTATAAACTACGGGAGTCCTTGTGAGTTGTGAAACAAGCTGCAAATCCACGACATTACTAGATTTAGTCAAATTATCAACCATTTCCACGGAAGTGGGATAAAGTATTTAAACACTTGTTTTGTTTTTATTTAAACCTGGATGTCACGATCTATTGTGCTGAGTATTTTTATTGGATTATAGATATAATTAGACCGATAGGATCACGAAGGATCGTAAAAGCATATACCACTAACCTCTATATGTAGATACCAAAGTAATATACATCTAAAGACTAAGGTATGTGTGCCATCCAGGATCAGTCCTGAGATTTCAGGAAACGGTAGGCGATAAATAAATATTTTAGTTAAAAAAAATTATATAAATTTGAGGATATTATTTTTTTTAAAAAAAATTGGAGATCTATGTCAATATAAAGATTTTCAAAATTTTTGGAGATCATAGATCAATGTTTCATCTCGCTTGGCCCAGAATTGATCCTGATGCCACCTAAACTTAGTCCTCTCATAACTAAACTTATACTCGATGATTAACAAGAAAGTAGAAATGCAAAACAAAAGAAAAAAAGCCTACTAAACTATCCACCCGTACATTTTTTGTAAAAAAAAAACACTATTTATCCGATATTTATTTCTTATCGTAATGCCAAAGAAAAATATACTCGATCTGAACTGGAATCTCTTCCATCGATTCACTAGCTTCGACTAAGAAACTTAAGTTGTTGGCGACAATAGATCTTTTAATTTCTCTTTTTTAACCTTTCTTCTTCTTCTTCATAGTAACAACTTTTTGATCTACAAAAACATAGTCGGTTAAGCAAGGGAGGGTGAGTGCAATCCCCCCATCATCTATGATATTAAAAAAATTCATGTATGTATATTTCAAACTAAATTTTATTTTAATATTTTTTAAACTAGTTTAAGTATTAAAAACAACCTAAAATGAATTAAAAATATGCTAACCTTTTTAAAAAGGATTTTTTTGGCTATTAAAAATATAAGAAAAACTTTACCTAAAAGCTTCAATAAACTTTGAGTCAACCCGAGTGAAGATAAGGTTTACAACCACATGCTTGGTTTATATGCAACAATCATCAGCCAATAAGAATTTAGGTATACCCATTGACGATCTTCTTTTATATTTCTCTATTTTGAATTCACTTGTACTTAATGTTTAAAACAATATTTTTTCTCTCTATGATCCTGGTATTCGGATATCTCTGAAAGAAATCTGATTAGTGTTTAATGACCGTCAATCGAAAATTTGGATATAATTTGCTGGGGAGTCCGCCGAAGACATCGTGGAGCTGGTGTTTTTTGTATATTTGGATCCAACATATTACATGTTAATCCAGATCACTCATGTTAACACACAACTTAGACATAGCTTCTCCATATTAGACTCAAATATTCTTCAAAATAATCACCATAAATCCACCAACAGTTGTATTTTGAACCATGTACCTATCGAGTAAAACCCTAAAGTGTAGTCTATCTATTTGCCACCAGACCATTAATGTGTGGTTTATATATATATATATATATATATATATATATATATATTTTTTTTTTTTTTTTTTTTGAAAACAGTATTTTTCTTCCTGTAACATTTTTCTCTTTTTTGATAAATAGTTTAACATTTCACAAAATAAGAATATTGCTAGCTCTATAATAACATATAAAATTACATTGCATTACGTCATTTTGGGTTATCCTTCAATTCAACCTTTCTCCAAGCACATTATGAGTGATGGAGTATTTTTCCGAAGGCACCAACCAGTGTTAGGTGTAACGTCAATCATAACACAATATATTATCAAAGTATTAAAGAAAACGTGGTAATTTGATTTATTTTAAAAAATAAAAGATATTGCGGATAAAAAATTATACTTCTTCTGTTTCATATTAAGTGTCATTGTAGAGAATTTTTTGCGTTACAAAATAAGTGTAGTTTTCGGTTTTCAATACAAAATTTATTAATTTTATTATGTACTTAGTTTTTCTATTGGTTAAAATATGGTTAGGTGTATAGGTAATTGTGTTTTTATATAGGAAATATGTAAAATTAATTATTTCCTTAATCCGTATGCACAGCTGTAGAGTGACACTTATAATGAAACAGAGAGAGTATTAAAGTATATGTGGTCATATTGATGAAAAACATCCCACATCGAAAATATAATAATTAATCTACTACTATATAAAGTGTTAGAGTCAATCCACTCATTACCAATTGATTTTAAGTTGGAAGCCCATAATAAATCCGAATCTAACATGGTTCAGAATCATAAGATCCTTTGACCTAATTTACTACAACTACTACTACTATACCGATGTTGGACCTTCTGTGGATGTTATTCCTACATTGTCCACGCTTCAAATCTAGATGTCTGAGGGTGAGAGGGAGTATTGATGAGAAATATCTCACTTCAGAAATATAAGAATTAATCTATTACTATATAAAGGATTAGATACAATCTACTCATTACCAATTGGTTTTAAGTTGGAAACCCGTAATAAATCTGAATCTAATAAATTACTATTGTTTATTCACATTTTAGTCGTTGGGTACAAAAGATCCAAATTGAAACATCGTTCTATTATAATTATCAAAAATATGATAGATATGTAATATACTGGATCCAAATATCCAATTTTTGAAGAAAAATTAGTTAAAATACCTTAACTGCTGTCATCGTCGCAACTTGCAGGTTCCATAACCCTGATATTATGTTACAAATCAGAAATATGCGTTCTATTAACGTATTTACAAATGCACAGAAAAAGAAAATTGGCTTACTTGGGGGTAAAAACTTTGCTGAAGTGATTTTACACTATTACGGTACGTAAATGAAAGGGAGCGCAATTAATTTGCCAATTATTTCCTTATGTAATCAATAAACACGTTTTTCTTATAACATGGTGGGGACAAAGAGAGATATTGATGGATGACGACAATCTCTCTAAATAATTCATAGTAGAGATGTTGTGAGACATTTGATCTGATTTGCGGGAGAGGTTATCACAATTTGCTTATCACATTTGAAAAAGACAGAACTTTCATCTCAGTGGTACGGCCATTTTACAGGCTGTTCCTCGAAGTCTCAGCGGCCATGATCGTGTTTATTTTCGAAAAGTCCAACTGCTGCGATAGAGGTGTATTTTTTTCTTCTTTTTATGAATACTGGTTTGATATTTTTTTCAGCAACGTTTGATATTTAAATGATAGAGGTGTATTTGTTGTGTCATTTTTTGCTTAAAATATTAAACTTTTTACTTTTACCAAAAATATATACTTTAGACGTATAGAGGACCAGTAACTTCAAAGAAAAGTACGCAATGCGGTTACGTTTTGACATCTTTACAAGATTATATTAAAAGCTGCTAGTGTAAATATTACATGAACCCTAAATTTTTTAACATTTATACTAATCACAGAATCATAAGGAGGATTTAGCGAAATACCTCATTTAATCATTGCGGAAATCTTCTTATTAGATTGTTTTGTTCATAAACATTTCAAATAATTTAGTCTAAGGATGACCAAAAGTTTCTTAAAGCATTTCAAAGTTATTTTGCATGATATTTTTAGGAAACACAACTA